ATGAAAACACTGAGGCCCAAGGAAGTTAAGTGGTTTGTGTGAGATCATGCAGATAGCAAACAAGCATCAGAGACATGGTTTAGAGCCATGTACTCTACTCTAGACCAGGTACTTTTTTATTACAAAAAAAAAAAGCAGAAGAGAATAGATGAATGTTTTCAGACTGCATAATAAAATCTTACCGAAATACTTTTATACAACCTCACAAGGCAAAGGGCAAAGTAGATGATGGGACCATGTCAATGAAGTTATTGATTGTACCTGTTATCAGTTTACCTCTAGGTGGAGCCTACGAAATTGCTAAGATCCAAGAGTGGAAGTCAAAATACCTTTCATGGGAGATATCCACATGAACTGACCAATAATATATCAACAAATAAGTGTTAAACAAAAGGCTGAGTCATGTAAATTTGTATACAGAAAGGGAAGAGTTTATGAGAGATGTAAGACCGAATTATTGCCACTAGACATTACAGAAGGGTTATCCTTAATGGGGCCAGAAATACTGATCAATGCAGATAGACCATGCAAGGAAACAACAGAAACTGTGCAACACAATACTGCAGTTTGCAAAAATTTAGCACCTACAAAACATTTAGCAAGACATGACCTGGTAGCTAGAATTACATATTAGAGGCTTACTATCTTTCCTAAATTAACAGACAACAAATCCCCACATTAAAAATACAGATCTAAAAATTATGGAACTGGAATCTTATCATAGAATAAACCATTGCCCCACAATTGCCTGCACATAACATTGATTCTTAGCAACTCAAGAACAATGTTTTTTAATCTATGTCATCGTATAAAATGTTCAGAAATTATAAGCTACTTGAACAAAAATTTCAAAATATACAGACTTTGCATAAGAAATCAAAGCCATGTGGGCACAGGATATCATCTCCATTATCCTGATTGCCAAGGAAATTGTACAAAAGATGCTTTCAGTGAGTCTACAGAAGACCTTGCATCCTAATAATTCTATTTAAGTACAGAAAACAGTTTGCAGTTATTTTATCTCCTTGTGAAGACCATTTCTCTCAGATCTCAATCAAACAAGTTGAGAATGATAAAAAAAACAGTAATTACGGGTTGTACTAGTTAACATATAAGGGTCAATTCCTACTCCAAATCTATATTTATATTATTATATAATCCCAATAAATATATGCATTTGGATAGGACATTCTAGAATCCCCAAAGCTGTTTCACAGCCAAGTCACATAGGATTTTATTGTCCATAGGAACCTAAACAATACTTAAAGTTCCAACTGGGGCTGTGAAGTGACTTCTTTCTGATGCTTACAAGGAGACTTACAGGAGAGGCTTATAAAAGAGACTTTTAAGGAGACTTCATCTTCTCCTGCATAATTACTGATTAACCTGCATTTGAACTTGGGTATTATGTCCTGTGTATTGGTTACCTCGTTTTGAAGGGACATTTTTGAAGCATATCAAAACTCAGTCAAAGCAATATCATTCATTTAATTAAAAGGAGAGAACCTGAACTGGTTTCTGTTGTATGAAGTAGACCTTCTTTAAGTTTACCTTATCAACCATATTTTTATTAGCCGTTGTCTATGATTCATCCCCTATCACCTCTTTCAAAATCATGCTCCATTAGTCATTCCCTTTTTCTTGTTCAGCTTCAAATTTTTCCTTTCTCTTATCTCCTTTCTATTTGCCTTTAAGTGTGTTCAGGTATTCTTTTGATGTTTCTGTCTCATCAAATAAACTTTCCATGCCTCCTCTTCCCTTTTTTGCTAAATTTCTTGAAAAAGATGTCTATACCCAGTGTCTCCACTTTGCTTCCTACTCCCTTTTTCACCCCTTAGAGTATGGCTTCCATCCTCTTTCCTCATCTGAATCTTCTCTCTCAAAAGTCACCAGTGGCCTCTTCATCACTAAATCCCTTTTTTCAGTCCTCTTTAGTTTCTCTATAATTTTGACACTGTTGACCATCCTCTCTCCTTTTAACTTCAAGGAAAATATTTTCCTATTTTCTAATTATTAAATAAATTTCTTTTACTGGATCTTCCTTCTATTTCACCACCCATTAACATGGGTTTTTCCTGAGGCTCTTTTTCTTGGCCATCTCATTGACTCTTAAAGTTTTTATATAGATTATCCCCAGATCTGGTCCTGACTTATATTGTCTGAGATCATCTATCTATCTATCTATCTATCTATCTATCTATCTATCTATCTATCTATCTATCTATCAATCAATTCAACATGTCCAAAACATAGCTTATTTTCCTCTTCTTATATGTTTTTCCCTCTGATTTCACTATTTCTGTCTGTGGCACAATGATATCTCTGGTCCTATGTGGTCAAAACCTAGGGATTATCATTGATATTTTTCCTTCTCTCTTATCTACTGTAATATTTTCTTTCTTAAAATTTATTTTCTTTTTACTTTATGGAATAAAATAAGCATTTCAGTAACATGGTACAATGAAAAAGATGATTGTACTTTAAACTGAAAATCAAATGTACACAACTTGCTATTCCTTTTAAATATACAACAAAATTGTCATGTAATTTTTTCCCCTTCTTTTCTGTATACACACACAAACACACATATAATTATTCTACACATACTTCTATTTATCAATTCTTTCTTTGGATGTAGATAACTTCTTTGCATGTCCTTTATAGTTAATTTGGGTATTTACAGTAGTCAAAATAACTTATTTACTCAAAGCTGTTCTTAAAACAATACTGCTGTTACTGTATACAATGTTCTCTCAGTTCTGCTCATTTCACTCTTTCTTATTTCATGCAAATCTTTCCATGTTTTTCTAAGATCATTGAGCCCATCATTTCTTATAGTACTGTAGTATTCCATCATAATCATAAACCACAACTTGTTTAGCCATTCCACAATTGATGGGCATCAGTTCTTTGCCACCAGAGAGAGCTGCTATAAAAATTTTTAGAACATATAGGTTCTTTTCCTTTTTCCCTAACCATTTTTAGAAATAGACCAAGTAGTGGTATTGCAGGGTCAAAGGGCATAGGTAGTTTAATAAATCTTTGGGCATAATTCCAGATTGCTCTCCAAAATGATTGGTTGGATGAGTTTATAATTCCACCAATAATGAATTAGTGTCCCAGTTTTTCCACACCCCCTCCAACATTTGTTGCTTTCCTCTTCAATCATTTTAGCCAATCCGGTGGGTGTAAAATCTTCTAAATTTGTTTTAACTTGCATTTCTCTAATCAATAATGATTTTAAACATTTTTATATGACTACAAATTGTTTTGGTTTCTTATTGGAAAACTGCCTGTTCATATCCTTTCACCATTTGTCAATTGGGGATATTCTTGTAGATTTGACATTATATATTTGAGACATGAGACCTTTATCTGATAAACTGCCTACAACATTTCCCCCCAATTCTTTCTTTCCTTTTGATCTTGTTTTACATTTGTTTTATTTGTACAAAAACTTCAATGTAATTAAAATTATCCTTTTTTACAGTTGACTTTGCTTTCTATCTCCTGTTTGTTTATAAATGATTTGCCTATCCTATCCATTAAGTCTGATAAGTAATATGTTCCATGTTCTTCTAATTACCTTGTAATATCTCTATATCTATGTCATATACCCATTTTGACTTTTTCTTGCTAAATGGTGTAAGATATTTGTCTGTGCTCCATTTCTGCCATACTGCTTTCCAGTTTTCCCAACAATGTTAACTAAATAATGAATTCTTGTCCCAAAATTTTAAATATTTATACTTGTCAAATACAACTTTATTATGCTTATTTGCTGCTACAAATTGTATGTCTTTCTATTTCTTAGCCAGTACCAGATACTTTTGATAATTACTGCCTTATTAATATAATTTAAGATCTGGTACTGCTAAACCTTATTTATTTATTATAAAGAAATTCATTCAGTTGTTTATTTGCCATTCCTTCATTTATGTATTTATCTATCAATTCATTCATTTATTTATGTATTCATTTGATTACATATCTAGGTACCTATCTCTGTGGCAGCTAGGTGGCACGGTAGATAGATCACTAGGCTTGGAATCAGGAAGACTGATCTTCATGAATTCAAATCTGGCCTCAGACACTTCACTCCCTGTGTGACCATGGGCAAGTCACTTAGCCCTGTTTTCCTCAGTTCTTCATCTGTAAAATGAGCTAGAGAAGGAAATAGCAAGCCAATTCCAATATCTTTGTGATGAAATTTCAATGGGGTCATCAAGAGCGGAACATGACTGAACAGAAAGAGATCTATATTTGTATTTATTTATCTATTCAGTTACCTTTCTACCTATCTATTTAAATGGTTTCTATATCTTACTCAGGCTGGAAGTGTAGGGGCTATTCATAGGCCCAGGTACATTATTGATCAGCACCAAGGCTTTGACCAACTCCCTTTCAAATATTGTGCGTTAAAAAGTGAATTAATTTCCTGGAAATTAGAGAAAGTGACTGGAAACCCATCTGTTAACATGCATGAACAGTGTACCACAAGGTGGATCAGTGACTAGCCCACTCCAGATGGGTCTGGCTTTCTCTAGCAGTGGTGGACAGATGATGGAGGAGAGCCGTCTGGGCTTCAGAAATACTTAGAGTAGGACTCCAAATCTGGCTGTATCCCTGAGAGACTTGAAGGGGGTTTTACACTCCTGTAGAATGTGACTTCCTTTTCCTAAGGGAAAGAGACTGTTTTAACAGGCTTATAAAATGGTTCCTAATGAGGCCTCTTAGACATCAAATAGTCACTAGGAAAACACACTTTGATGAGGTAAGTGTAAGGAGATCAGAAACACTCTTGTTTAAGTTCCCTTTCAAAGTTATGTGGGTTGAAGACTTGAGGTCGAAATGTGCTTTACCAAAGACAAAATATCTGGAAAAAGATTATGGAGATAACCAAGGAGAAGCCCAACAGTCCCAGACAGAATTGGATTAATCAATCACCAACTAAGAATATCCTTGATGTTAAAAGAAAAAAAACAAAAACATATGCTTACTGTGCTGTCCTCCTTTGTCCAAGATGTGTTGTGCTATCTCCATACCCATACTACTTCTGTTCTTCACAGAATTCACTTTCTTGCTAAATGGGAAAAATGCAAAAAACTGCTCAGTGGATGGTTTGCCTTTGAATAAGGAAATGCTACATCTCCTTCTGCACCCATTTTAAAAAATCTACTATCTAGTCTCTTTTGCATAAGTCATAAAACACCTGATGCTGGAGTTGATAGAGTCGGGTCACAAATATGGTGTCTGATGACAAAAGACAACTTCCAGAATGTTGTTTATTGACTTACACAACAATCTTCCAGGGTATTCAAGCAGTAGTTACTGTTTGTTCAACCATACTAAGGCTCGTGGTATACCTACCATTGGGTGAAGCTTAAAAACTATTTACATAGCAGGGATCTCAGGGAACTGCCATCCCATCTTTAGGCACAGTGGATAGGGCCCTACATTTGGAGTAAGGGATCAGATCCCACCTCAGACACTGATTAGATGGGTGACCCTTAAATTCACTTAAATTCTTGATCCCTCAGTTTGTTCATTTGTAAAATAATTGGACTTGATGGTCTCTAAGTTCTTTTATGGCTCCAGATCTATGATCCTTTGAGTCTTTAGGGACTCTTGATTTTCAGGAGGCCTTGTTAAAATGCAACTGTTCATCTAGGATTCTGCTAAGAAATTAACTTAGATAGTTATTCCTTTTAATTAGAAATTCCACTCATAGACTTATATTCCTTGGACTAAGGAGGTAAAATACAAGAAGAAATATTCAACAAAATGTTCATAGCAGCACTTTTTATAGCAGTAAAAGAAGGGGGAAAAAGTAGGTGTTCCTCAGTTGAAGAATGGAGAAGGAAATTGTGGCATGTGAATGTAATGGAATATTATTGAACCATGCAAAATACTAAATATGAAGAATTCAAAGAAGTATCAGAAGACTTATATAAACTGATACAATGTGAGGCACAGAGAATCAAGAAAGCAACGCATATGGTAGCTACAATTAACTAAATGGAAGGAACACAAGAAAAAAATAATGCCACCATTTATGCTTTGCTTACTTACCAGGCACTGCACCAAGTGGTTTACAAGTATTATCTCATTTGATCCTCACAATAACCCTTGTGAGGTAGGGGCTATTATTATCTATACTTCACAGATGAGGAAACTGAAACAAACAGGGGTTAAATGCCTTGTCCAGAATCATACAGCTAGCAAACATCTGAGGCCGGATTCAAATTCAGGTCTTCCTGATTCCAGGCCTGGCAGAGATGAGAAAATGGAACCCTTTCCTCCATTCTTTTCAGAAGTGAAGGTCTATGCATATACTGCCAGATTTAATTGATGCAGTTTTGCTAGACTACTCTTTTTTACTCTTTTAAAAATATTTATTATAAGAGATAGATTTCTAGGGAAAAGGGAGAAATATGCTTAGAAATGAAGGCAATGTAAAAACAAAAGATATTAGAAAATTTTTTTGTTGCCACAGAATCACAGAATCTTGGAGCTAGGAGGCAATTTTGGCCCTTCTAATTCAACTCTATTGTTTGAGAGATGAGGAAATCGGAACTTAGCGAAGTTATGGGATTTGTCTAAGGCCATAAAGAAGCAGGATCTAAACCCAGGCTTTTTTTCCCCCTCTTTAAGTCTAGCGCTCTTTCTGCTACACTACAGGTTTTTTTTTTTAATTTAAGTACTTGTTAATCTCTAATGATTTTGTTTTGAGTAACATCTTATAGTAAAAATAAGAACTGGTACATGGGATTAGGGTGAAAGAATGGAGGAGGTGGGATAGGGGAAAAAGAAGGAAGCCTGGAGTCAGGGCTAGGGCACTGCCTGGTGTCAGAAAGGCCTGGTTTCAAATCCCATCTCGTACACTTCCTAGTTCTGTGGTCCAGTGACTTCAGTGTTCCTTATTTATAAAATTAGTGGCTGGATTTTATGGCCTCTAAATTCCTTAACTCCTCAGAACTGCTCATCCCATGATCTCCGATTTTATAAAAAGAAAGGAGACAGTCATTGATAAAGGAGGCCAAATGATGCTAAGGACAAACTTGGCCTACTGTACAAACTGTATGATTTTGCTTAGGGTAGACCTTGTTACCAAAATCTATCATCAAACATAAGTGTGCACATATAGATACATATATGCCCACATATACATGCATGTGCATATGTGCATACATATATGTGTATATGTATATGCTGGCCCTAGGCTTGTGATTTCTTTAGCAAAAGGAATTCCCAGTGAGGAAAGTCCCTTTACTAATGCAGATTGGTGATTATTCTGCACTTTCAAATCTTAGAGAATTGCTTGAGCTTCTGATAGTTCAAATGATACGCCCAGGGTCAGATAGTCAGAATATGTCAAAGGTAAGGCTTGAATCCAGGTCCTCATGACTCCAAAACCAGCTGTCTGTCTACTATACCATAGTTAAAGCCTAGGGCAGCTAGGTGATGCAGTAGCTAGAGCACCAGGCTTGCAGTCAGGAAGTTTTATTTTCCTGACTTCAAATCTGGCCTCAGATACTTACTAGCTATGTGACCTTGGACAAGTCACTTAACCTTGTTTACCTCAGTTTACTCATCTGTAAAATGAACTGAAGAAGGAAATGGCAAACTACTCCAGCATCTCTGACAAGAAAACCCCAAATGGGGTCACAAAGAGTCAGACATGACTGAAAAAAAGGACTAAACAATAAAGCTTACACTTCTATAGTACTTAAAATTGACAAAGTTTTACATACTCTGTCTTGTATGATCATGTTAGATGCGAACCCCTCATGCATGTAAAAATAATCACTTGTTTGCCTATGTCAGCAGGGTCAAGACTATCCGAATCTCGAAAGGAGTTTCTTTCTGTCAGAAAGGAAGAGTATTAAAAGCCCTGACTGAGTCAGAACCCATGTCTTAGCATTGGATTGTCTGGTGTTAGCTCTACGGTCTGTTCAAAAGGTGTCACCTTCACACTATGACAGCTATACGCTCATAAAACCTGATCTCACTACTCTGGGTTTCTGCTTCTCTGGTTTCCCTTCCCTCAGGTACCTGGTCTGAACCAGCTCTGCCCCTCAATTTGTCCATCCTTACTCTTCTTCCCAAAGATGATTTCCGTCTTCCTGCTCCGAGTTCTCTGATTTGACCGATAATTTACAAATAGCCACTTCCCCCTTTGGGAAGGTATTCCACTTTCTCTCCCTTATTGTAGATTTTTATTTCTCTCTCATGCATTGACATCATCATCATTTCCCAACATATCCCTACTCCCTTCCTCATCCTAAGAGCTTACAACAAAGAATAAAAAAGAAAGAGGAAAAAAAAGTAGCTAACCAAATGCATTAATCGGGCTTGACAGTCTATTGTTCGCTGTTTCATATTGATAGAACTCCACCTTTACGAAGAAGGAAGGTGGGTGATGTTCCATTTCAGAAAATTACTCATCAAGATGAGAAAGGAAGACTTCAAAAATTTCTCTTTCCCTTTACTTAGTCTCTACTGATACAGTAAGCTGGGGCAATGGAAGTCTCCTTCAACGACAGATGAAACTTGTCCAGATTTCTCTTCGGTACACCCTCGGCCTGCTGACGGCTGTGTAGTCTGCCACCTAAGCAGACTGACTGATGGAGGTGGAACTAGTCCAAGTTATAAGTCAAAAGCTTGCCCAGATGTACTTTTAGTTAAGCAGCTGCAGATTTACCTCAACAGCTTAAGAATTCTGATTCATTTGGTAACAGTTTATTTTTGATGATGTTGAAATGGCTGATTCAGTTTTGAAGCTTTTAGCACTTCTCTGATGGGAAGTGACCAGAGCTCATTTTAATTGTTCAAAAAGCAGCTATCTTCCATTCTAGGAAATTTCTTTTCTGTCAGTACCAAGTAAAGTCCTTTTGAAAGGGAGATATGCTTATCTATGGTGATCACAGTAGATAGAGTACTAGGTCTGGAACCAGGAAGACCTGAGGTTAAATCCGGCCTCAGACACTTCCTAGCTGTGTGACCCTGGGCAAGTTACTCAACTCTGTTTGCCTTAGTTTCCTCATCTGAAAACAAGGCACAAATTTACAACTCAAAACTCTGGTGGGACTCTAAATAATACCTTCTTTTAATAAACCATGATAATATTATTCCAGTTTGTTATTATCTACTTAGTAAGTAGTTTAAGATCATTCAACCATGATATGTTGTAAATGGAACAATGATAGAAAAAGGTCCCTCCCTTTATTATAGAATATAGTATTATTATATTCTAGGAATATAAATTATTATATATTGCATCAGAGACATTTGATGTGCTGGTTAATTTTATCGAATGACTTTTGTACCTTTCTTTTAGATTTTTCTTACAAGAGGATGGCTTGAAGGGAAAAATATATTCAAAATAAACATGATGTTAAAGCAAAATTATCAACAGAAATGAGATGTTTTTAAAAAAGAAATGAGACTAAAATCAGTCTATTTAATTTTTGCAGAAAGGGTAATAAAACTAATGCTTTTTATTTTTGCTTTTATGATTAATTTGCTTCTTCCACTACAACCATCCCCATTGAGTAAGATAAACAATAAAAGCAACAACAAAGCCCTCGATACACATATACCTAGTTTAGTAAAACAAATTCCCACATTAGTCACAGCCTCCGGCAGTGCCAGTCACCCCCTGGTACATTCCCTCAGCATAGCACCAGACGCAAGAGTCTCCTGTGGGCCTTAGAGTAACACCAGTGCAGCACCAGGTAAACAGCCAGGGCCTGCAGCCCTTGGCACAAGAAGCCTGAGACAGTACCCCTTCCACTCTAGGAGCAGAGTTCAAATTTAAAAGAAAGGATAAAGGCCAATAAAGATGAGAAAAAAAGAAAAAGAATCTGATAGAAAATTATTATGGTGACAGGGAAGATCAAGACATAAACTCAGAAGAGAACAACAATGTTGAAACACCAATGAGAGGAGCTTAAAAATCATATGAGAAAGGTAGAAGAAAAAATGGGAAAAGAAATGAGAGTGATGCAAGAGAATTAAGAAAAAAGAGTCAACAGCTTGGAAAAAGAAAACAACTGGTTAAAAAGTAGAATTGGC